ATATTAAAAAATTAAAATCATCAAAAAATTATAACAAAATTAAAATTTTTTGACTAAACTCGACTACAAACATATCTTAGAACTGGACTAAAGTAAAAGTACCCGTTTTTCGACGCTAAATTTTTATTAATTAATTTTTTAAATTGGTGCCTAATTGACCGAGCGTGCGTAATTTAAATTTGACGGAGCACGCGCGTGCCGACGGGTTAAAGACAGGGTAACCAAAATGTTTGGTAAGATACATCAAATGTATGGAATTTTACAACAACTACGCTCTGCTCCAACAACAAACACAGAGAATTCAGAGTACGTTACTTCACAGAGTCAGCATGCCATACACCCCTTACCCTTATATTCTGAAATCTTACAAAGAAACCAGGAACAAAGCACAGCCTCTAAAGCAATTGCAAAAACAATAAATAAGAAAATTAGCAAAGAAGGTACTGGCAGTAGTCACGCACTACTGGTCTACCCCAAAGAAGAAGAAGGGGAAAATGCCAAAACACTCATGGATAAAGTATTCACAGACATTACTGAAAACATCAAACCTAACAAATTACAGATAAAGGTTGCGGGAATTAAAAAAGTCAAGGGAGAAGGAATCTGCTTTCGAACCGGCACTAGACAAGAGGCTGCTGTACTTGAAAGAGCAATAGAAGAATTACCATTAATAAATACAAAAATTAAAACGAAATTATCGGAAGGGAGGCGACCGAGAATCATACTCCTTAATGTTCCAAATTGTGTGGACGAGGAAGACATAGTAGAAATGACTTATGATCAAAACATTGCTCACAGTAACATACCAAAGAATGAATACATGGCTAACACAAAGATAAGTACTATCATACACAAAGGGAAAATAAATGAAAATTGTAAACATGTAGTACTGAGCACAACAGCAGAAATTAGAAAAGAGATTATAAGTTTAAAATACCTGGCCATCTCGTGGGCAAATATTAGAGCGGATGATTTTGTTTACATTACGAGATGCTACAACTGCTGTGGGTACAGGCACTTAGCTAAGGACTGCTCTCAACAACAAATTTGTAGTCACTGTTCTAAAAATCACCGATTTAAGGAGTGTCCTCATCGAAAACAACCACCTTGTTGCTCGAACTGTAAAGAAAATAATAAGAATCTGTCAACAAGTAAGAAACAACCAACAAATCATAACGCTTTTTATCAACATTGTCCAAAACATTAAAAATAAAGGAAATACAAATTAACCAAACAAATTATGGATATTAACCCTATCAAAAACCATTTAACACTGATACAAATAAATTTACAAAGGGCAAAAGCAGCGACTACTGATTCTCTTCAGACAGCACTTAATTATCAATCTGACGTAATGATAATTCAAGAACCATACTGCTATAAAGGTAAAATAGCACTCTTTGGAACATACAAAGTACTGGCTGCAAACAGTGATAACGAAGATCCGTTAACAACGATTATAATTTTAAATAAGAATATAGACGCTCAGATACTGATACAACACTGTTGCAGCTTCTTTACTACCAACATTATAAACATCGACGGTATGGCTTGTATTTTAATTTCTTTTTATTGTGCACCATCAGCTGACATTTCTGATTCCTTAGAGTTACTGCAAAACACTGCTCAAAAGCTTAATAACTATCCGGTACTCATAGCGGGGGACTTCAATGCGAAATCCCCACTATGGTTTAGCCCGTATGAGGACCCAAGAGGCTATAAGGTCATTGAATTCATGAATGAATTTAACTTTCGCTCCATCAATACTAGCAATCTACCGACTTATTCATCTACATCAGGAGAAAGCTGGGTATATATATGTTTAGCTAATAGTGCTCTTTCGAAATTTCAATTAAGCTGTAATACAATGGAGATTCACTCACCAAGTGATCATAGTCTTATCAGGACAACTATTCAAACTACAGGAATCAAGAAGAATATCCGTATCATCCAAAAAACTGACTGGAACAAATACAAGGAATATATACAAAATAATTGGAATAGTGACCCTATCATAGAGATTTCCGACCAGGAAAGACTACAACAAACTACCAAGGAGCTACAGCAAGTTATCCACTCTGCTTTCACTGAAGCTACTAAAATTAAAGTAGCTAAAATATCAGCGCCATGGTGGAACCAGGCACTAGCTAAACAAAGAAACGCATTAAGGAAACTAAGAAATAAATACAGAAGGGAGAAGGATCTAAGGAAGAAAGAAACTTTAAAACAGGAATACAGAAATCACTTCAGAAACTACAAAACAGAAATAAATAGAACTCGCACCCATTCGTGGAGAAAGTTTTGCACGAACTGGGGAAATCTCAAACCCTGGTCTACCCCCTTCTACATTGTAAGATTAGGAACACAAGCATACCAAACAACAACCTAGGAGTTATTGGAGATCCAAATAACCCTATCAAAGAAACATATAAACTGATAGTGGATGAACTTTTCCCGGAAGACGACTCCAGCAGTGACAATCCCTTCCAGGCAAATCTCCGTAACAAGACAAGGAACAGTCAATCTAGTGAAGATGAACCTAACTTCACAACTCAAGAAATTCAAAATGAAATACAAAACCTCAAGATCAAAAAGGCACCAGGCCCTGATAGTATCAGCCCAAAAATGGTTAAATTGGCATACGAAGCAATCCCCACTACATTTCATACACTTTTCAACAAGTGTCTTAGCTTAGGATTCTTCCCTTGTGATTGGAAGAAGGCTCTGATATCTTTAATTCCAAAAATAAGTCTTCCTGTCAAAGCAACAGACTACCGGCCAAAATATCTCTTCTTCCAGTGGTGGGGAAAATACTGGACGGTCTTATGGTTAAAAGATTACAGCATTTTTGTGAGAAGGGAAATAAATTGGATAACAACCAATACGGGTTCCGGAAAGGAAAAAATACCATCAATGCCCTGGAATCAATAATAAACTACATACAGGAAGCAAAAACGAGAGGGGAACACACGCTACTAATATCAATTGATTTTCGAGGAGCATTTGACCACGCCTGGTGGCCAGCGATAATGGAGGCACTAAACAAATTTGGCTGTCCAAAGAATCTGTTCAACCTCTACAAAAGTTATCTCAGCGACAGAAAGATAATCATAAAAACGAGAAATAGTGAGTACTAAGCTAAAAACATATCCAGAGGCTGTCCGCAGGGCTCCCGCTCTGGGCCATACATGTGGAACCTTATGTATGACAGCCTTTTAAAACTGAATACATCCTTTCCTCGAGATTATAATATCAAAATCCAAGGATATGCGAATGACACAGTAATAGTCATCTCGCATCGAAATCAAGAAATACTACAAACAAGAGCTAATGAAATATTGACAAAAATAATGGAATGGAGTGTAACAAGGAAACTGGAAATTAATTACGATAAATGTAACTGTATAATTTTTCCTAGGAAAACTCCGCTACATAAAGGCCCTTTTATCAATATAAATGGGCACAAAATTAAGAACAATAGACATATAAAATACCTTGGAGTCATACTGGACGAGAGCTTAACGGTGGAAAGAGCATACTCACTATATTTACACAAAGGCAGTCTCGGTAATGCATACATTAAACTCCATTGCCAGAAACAGATGGGGCTATAACAGCAAATCTTCCAAATTACTATACACGGCGGATATCGAACCTATCTTACTATATGGATGTGAAATCTGGGGCACAGCAATTGACAAAATTCATATCAAAAGAAAGTTACTCTCAGCACAGAGGCTTTCGGCCATATCAATCACAAAAGCGTACAGGACAGCCCCGGGGGATGCATTACTTGTAATAGCTGATTTAATACCCATCGACTTAAAAATTAAAGAAAGGATATGGAAATATTATCAGATAAAATATGCTATAAATAACATCAGCAAGGATAACTTTGATAAAACAATTCAGAAGATAGGAATAAAGGAACCAGCTATAGAGATTTCTAACATCATAACCAAAGAAAAACTAGACTACTATCCAAACATTCACGTCTTTCACCCGACAATAAGCCTACCAATAAAGCTTACAGAAAACTTGGACAATAATAATAATATAAAGATCTACACGGATGGTTCAAAGACGGATACGGGTGTAGGGTGCTCAGTGGTGGTAAGGGAAAACAAAAAGAACATACATCAGGCTCACTATAAACTTGCCACATACTGTACAATAAATCAGTCCGAATCTCTGGTTATTTTCAATGCTCTGAAATGGGTACTTAAAAATCTAAAACAAATTAATAACAAAGGAGTCACAATATACAGTGACAGTAAAGTTGCCTTACAACAGCTAAAAAAGTTAAACGCAAACTTACCAATTGTTTTTCAAAGTATTAAAATAATCATTACCTTACAAGACAGTATCAACATAAATCTTAACTGGGTAAAAGGACACTCATCAAATCCCGGCAATGACAGGGCTGATCTCTTAGCCCGCAAAGCATCTGACAAAAATCTAAACATTTCGTACAACAGAATACCATTAACTTGGTTACATCAGAAGATACGCAGTTATATTCAGACTAAATGGCAAGAACGTTGGGAAAAAAGCACAACCGGAAGACTTACTTACCAATTCTTTCCACAAATCCAAAAGAGGATTAAGAATAAGCATTTTGTTCCTTCTTTCAATATTACGCAAATACTCATGGAACATGGTAATTTCCGGGCATACTTGCACAGGTTCCTGGGGAAAACCAACGGGAAATGTTCATGCAACCTTCAAGAGGATGAGGATTCGCAACATGTAATATACAGCTGCCCAATTTATTCAAATGAACGCAAAAGGTTAATAGAACAAATAAGAGAAAACAACGAGTTATGGCCTTGTGAGTTGAGCATTCTTGTGAGCAATAAAGACATTTACAAGGATTTCAAAACGTTTTTAAAGGCAATTAAAATACTGGAATAACTCCTCTTGTTCCTCTAAAGGATCTTCAAATTATAGCAACACAGGATATGTCTGGTACTATATTTATCCCCTAGGCAACCTGCTTTGCATCTTTAGTTATTGTGGTATTGTCTCGCTGTATAATTATTGTCATGTCAAATTGTCGCTCTCTAGTGAGCCAAATTCTGCAAATGTTTTGTTTAATCAAATCACGAGGTGTGATCATTGTCAATTCTGTTCATCCTTAGACACCAAGTTGGGTGTCATTATATATGCTGTTCATCATTAAATATGTTGTGATGTATATACACTTTGTAATTTTTGTTTTATAATAAATGACCCGGTGCTCGACGCTCGTGGGATCCCATGGGGGTCCCCTGGTTACTCTTTTCACACTTTCCTATCTTTCTTTATTTCCTCTTCCTCTATTCCTTACTCTCCTCCCCCTCTTTTCCTGCTTCTAACTTCATTCTTTATGGGCTATACCTCTGAGTGAGGCCCACAAACACCTTCACTCGATGTTGTCCCCCTCAGGGGTCACAGGCGGTTTGGAAACCAACAGAAAAGATGCCGGAGATGTAGCTACAGCAATGAGACATTGGTCCACGTGCTGTGCCACTGCCGTCCAAACATGGCTGCCATCACAAGACGTCACAACAATGTACTAAGAAGACTAGTGAATGCTACGGATACCAGGGGTGCTCAGACATTCATAAACCAACAAATCCCTGACTTCCCGGGCAACTGCCGTCCTGACTTCACCTTCATCAATGAAGAGGCCAAAGAGGTCACAATAATAGAGGTTGCCACGCCATTTGAGAGCGGCTCTGAAGCTTTCTCACTGGCAAGACAAGAAAAGGTAAGAAAATATTAAGACTTAACCAATTTCTTCAGGAATAGGGGATACAATACATTTACTGACGCATTTATTATTGGGGCCCTCAGTGGATACGACCCAGCCAATGAATCCACCCTAAGAAGACTAGCCATCCCAAGAAAATACGCCACGATGATGAAGAAACTGATACACTATACGTTGCAGCAGAGAGATATACATCTCCCACCTTAGCGGATTCGGTGGCTTCGATCGACGTGGGCAACCCAACCATAGCAACCCGGATAGACAACACCGCTAACCAGCTCCTCAAACTTCTCCTATATACTCACTGTAACATTTGAGCAGGCTAAGTGCCCTTGAAAGCGGGTCTGTCTAAATACATATGTCCTTGTTATTATATGGCTGGCTATGAGCCCATGATACCGCGAACTCAAGGCACCACTATCTCTGTAATTTTACTGGCTGGCTTTGTGCCCATGTTAACGCGCTAATGTCACCATTGTAACATTGACATTCAAATACGCCTTTCCACATTTGTACTAATTCTGTATTTTGATTTTATTTATTAATAAAAGGCTTTTTGAATCTGTTCTTATCAGCTTAATGGTTCTTCGCTAAATTGACACCAGACCTAAATTTCAAGCTTGATCCTACTCCCCAGACCTCTGGGTAAGTATATTTTTTTGGTTTACCTTTCCTCTACTCTTCTCTCTTCCGCCGGAAGAGTGGCCTGCACGATTTAAATGCACCGTGTATTCGCTGCTCAACCGGCAACACTTTGTCTCTCGGCGTCAGCCCAAGCTGACGTCTTTCTAGGCACCTTGTTTGAACACCCTTCTGGGTGTTTTACTCAAGCACCTCTTTCTTCCTCTTCCCGCCTCTTCTTGGTCGGTTGCCCAGGCACCCCAGGAGGCATTTCTGTCCCTTTTCTCTACTATCCCCTACACATTTGGTCTATGGCGACCACCGGTAGCCCAGCCAAAGTTACACTGTTGGTGCCTCTGCACCTGCCTTACCACTGCCCTGCCTGGTTACCAGTCTACAGGGACTATGTGGTTACCAGTCTACAGGGAGGGCTCGCTAGGCACATCCGGCATACCCACGGTGGCCATCTTAACTTTGAGTGCAGAGCTTGCAACATACGCTCCGACAAATTAAAGGAGATCAAGCTGCACCAGGCCAAATCTGCCGAATGCTCTGCTCAGCTTCCCTCTATGTCACCGAACAACACCGCCAGGGACCCCAAACTTCGTCCCAAGGTTTCAACCAGCCCCAGGAAGTCGAAACGTCAAACCTACAGCCTTGACGAGGCCTACCTTGCTTCCCAACATGCCACAAACACCACCGGAATCAACCTCGCTGCAAGTCAAGAGGAGCACATCTTGTCTGACATGTCCGTCCGGTCTGCATCGATCGGTTGACTCCAAGCCGAGGTCAAGAATGACTCAACGACCAGCCAATTGACTCAAACGGAGCCTGATTTGAGCCTCCCGTTTATCCGAAGCAGGGGCCAAAGCAATGTGTTGGGGATGTTATGTTGCCCCTCAACTACCAGGATCCCCCTTTCCGGCATACGGGGTACCACTCACGGCAAACACGTGAGTGGACGTTCAGATTCCAGGGATGGTAAAGAAGAATTTCTAAACCATCTCTGGGAGGTCCCTCACCACGGACATGAACCCACATCGAGAGGCAGTTGAGAAATAAAAACCGGTATATGCTGATATGGATGATAGCCTTAGTAAAAAAAATGATTTGGAAGGCAAAATATTCTACGTTAAATACATAAATTTCCAATGTATGAAGCAAGCGAAAAAATGTTTAGCATTGAAATGCTATCAGTATGTGCACGACGCAACGCGGCTACGGACTACGGGATATTTTCCACCTGTGATGAATGGTGATCAACAGGAGTTTTATCCCGTTGTCAGGCCTTCCTCATGCAATACCCGACAATTCCTGTAGCCTTTTGCATCTTCACTTATCGTTTCCTGACGTTCTTTCGTGTGTATTAACGGATAATTTTTTATTTTGGTGGTAAATACGTTATACAACGTATTTACCACCAAAAGAGAACAGAAATAAAGAAAGTTATGTTAATCATAAATTAAATAAATATAATATAAAACAAGAAGCCGAAAAGATTCTTTTTGATAAAAAATGTAAAACAAAAGAAAGCTTAGTAATAGATAAAATAATAGTTGAAGGAAAAGAAATTACAGATAGTAACCAAATAATTATAAATTTTCAGCGATTTTATACAAATTTGTTTAAAAGATTAGATTTTGATGAGTCGTTATTTGAATAAGTGGCAAAGGTTATAAAACCTGTAAAAGACAAAGTGGAAAATGTAATAAACAGAGAAGTTACGAGAGACAAAATTAATGATGCGATCCAGGTGATAAATGGGAGGAGGGCTCCGGGAAGAGATAGTCTGAATGCTGAATTTTATAGATTCTTTGGGGATGATATTAAAGAGATTTTAAATAATTTATACAATGTAAATAATTTTAGTGACAATTTTAGTCACGGAAGTATGGTACTTTTAAATAAAAAAAATGACATTGATAAAAGTTTGGAAAGCTTTAGACCGATAACGTTGTTAAACGTTGATTATAAGATATATAGCTTTATCTTGTCACAGCGGCTCGAGCAGGTATTTAAAGATGTAATTGTAAGTACACAAAGTGGGGGAGTAAAGAATCGGCCTATCCAGAATAATATCTTATATTTACAGTTAATCCAAGAATTATATGTAGACTGGAAGAAGTCTCTCTCCCTCCTCTCAGTTGACGTCAGTAAAGCATTTGACACAGTGAATAGACATATTTTGTAGAAATTCATGGAATGTTATGGTCTAAATGATAATAAAATAATGATGATTAAACGTTTATATCAAACACCAAGTACCTTTATCAAATTAAATGGGAAAATATCCGATAGCATTGATTGTAATACCGGGGTCCGTCAGGGGTGTCCCTGTTCGATGTTGTTGTTTTCCATATATATAAATATCTTATTAGAAAATATAAATAATGATGAGCTTATTGAGTCAGTCCACATCCCTGGCTGTATAGAAAAAGTCAAACTAATAGTGCATGCAGACAATATAAATTTCTTTGCAGTCAATAATTTCAGTTTGGAAAAGATTTTAAATCATATAAAGAAGTTTAGCGGGTTAACCGGGATGAGAATAAACGAAAAAAAAAAAAAACTGATGCCGGTAACAGGAAATGTGGGTTGTAATTTGGACGATTTTGATAAAGTTCATACAATGAAAATCCTTGGAGTTTAGATAGGGAGAGACGCAAAGAAAAATAATTTAGACAATATGAAGAATAAAATCCAGGAAGCTATAAATGAATGGTCGAAAAATTGGTTGTATTTACCGGAAAGAGTTAACATTATAAATAAAGTAGTCATTGCACGTATAGTGTATACTTTGTATATAACGCATATGAACAAACAAGAAATAAATGAGCTAAAAAAACTTATTTTTTTATACGTGTGGAATAATACGTTCGAGCCATTTGGAAGAGAGTACATGAAAAATGACGTCAACTTGGGAGGATGGGGAATTTGGGATATAAAACACTGAGTATTCCTTACAGATAGCAACTATGATGAATATACTAAGACAAAGAGATCACCCAGTGTTTTATGTGATCAGATATATTTTGGGACCAATAACAAACAGACTCACCCAGTTGAGAGAAGGGTATCCTTTTCTGATAAGCAACAAATGGAAATTTAGGCGGTGGAGAGAGTTGATAAATAATGTGTTAAATGAAAATCCGAGTATAATAAATAGTAACGATAAAATCAGACCTTGTAGGGTCTATTCTAACATACATAAACAACGTGAAAACGAGAACATGAGAAATACTGTTCTAAATTGGCCACTAATTTGGTGAAATATACATACTCTTTCGGCTGAGTGGGTAGAAATATCTTGGAGAATCATTAATAATGTTGTTGTTACAAAAGATTATCTGTATAGGTACCACATAAGCAAAAATGCAAACTGTTCACGTTGTGGGCAGACCGAAACAATCGAGAATATTTTTTATTTGTGTAGTTTGGCTAGATCAGTATGGGCTTGGATGTCGAGGATCTGGCAAGTCAGAATAACGTGGCAAATCGTAAAATATCACATAAACTTTTACATACGTAATCAACACGG